ATTCTCCACACTTCACGATATCTGACATTACGCGTCCTTCGGAATTTTTCACTGGCCGTTCATGTTTTTGAAGGGTTCCAAATATGCGACCTAATTTGTGGTTAATTTTTTCTAGAGCTTGTTCGTATTTATCTTTTTCATAATTAAGCCATTGATCTTTCAGTTGAGGTAATTTAGCATTTCGATTGACGAATGATACAAGTGTTTGACAAGTTTCTTCTTTTATTTTATATTGCTCGCTATTCTCTGTGTAATAGTCATAAAATGCCAATATGTGCCTTGATGGATAAAAAGTTAAATAATAACAATTTTCTTGTGCTCGGTTAACCATATTCTCCCTACAAAGTAATGTAGTAGTTTTAATATTTTCAAATTTTTAAAAATAGAGAAAAATTCTCAAATAAAGATTAAAATAATTACCAGATGTCCAAGTCATTTCTTAAACGAATTGCTAATTTCTCCAAATTACAAGTACCTTTGGCCGATTCGTTATATTTTCGATACCCAAAATGACCTAATTGAGTCAATTTTTTCATTATTGTAATTATTCTTTGGGCGATGTCAAATTGGTTAACAAACTCCTCCATTTTGACTTTAATGTCATCGATATCATCAATTGAAACACCAGGCTTTGAAATTAAAAGGGCTCTGCTACGTAATTCTTGTAACTCATTAATTTTAAACTTCATGGTTTCTGATTTTGAGGGATATGATAACTCCAGTTTGCAATCTTCTTCATCTTCCTCTTTCTTAAAATCATATGTACCATGACTTGCAGCATTTTGAATCTTTTCTTTTGTGACGTCACCTTTGTTATAGACGGAATCATACATATTTTTTAAAGCCATAACATTACAATTACATAATGATAATTTACTTGCTAACGAAAGGTTAATATAATTGAATCCTCCTATTAACGTATCCATAGTTATGTGATCATTATTCATAAACGGATGCAAGAATTGCTTTACTTGAATTAGTGAAGTAATTGTGCCTTCTTGAATCAATCTTGTATCTGAATGCTCATCGACACCATTAATCAAAAATTTCAAATCATCATCTGTTTTACCTTCTAAGAATTTAATTAATTCTTCAGATCGTGATAATTCTTTGATAAAATTCCAGTTGTTCTCATTGTATTTGGAAAATTTTTGATTTATAATTTTAACGGTGTTACTAAATGTACCCAAATTTCCGTGATCAATCAAGTTGTCGAGCCAGTTTTCTTTGACTTTAAAAATCTCAGTAATCTTGGATAAATTCCCTGTGCGTTGTTTCCAAAACTTATTCCTGGATAAATGACCTATTGTCACCATGAACGGTTCGTTTTTATTGATACGAATATTTCCATATTTTTCCATTAACCTAATCTCATCATCGAAATTAGAAACATCACACCAAAATGGAATTTCTTCTGTAGATTTGAGATTTTCCCAATTTTCATACTGCTTGCACCTAGCAGCGTATTCTTCTAAAACAACATTCATTAACGTTTGTGCTATAAATTCAACACTCATATCATCAGATTCTTCTTCAGATTCTTCTTCAGATTCTTCATCAGATTCTTCATTTAAGCGTATTTTAAGAACATTATTAAATGTTCTAGATTGATTTAATTCATATGTTCTCTCAGCTATTGATATAATCCGTTTATGAAAACTCCAATGGGCTTCTGATAAGAATTCTTTTAGAGAGATTTTATTCAGATTCTTGCTTCGTTCTCTTAATTCATCAAGATAACTTTGCACATCCTTTGTTTTTTGTAGCGGACAAAATCTTTTATAAAAATTGTCTAATTTTTTCAACCTTTGTTCATAGAAGTCACAGTTCTGACGAACCTTAACCAAATTATCCTTGCTAATGATTTTATCATTATTAAAATTTGCAGAATTTAGATAAACATAAAGGAAATCATCATCAAGTTTAAGCAACTGCTGGAGAAGGTGTACATTTATAGAACTATTTTTAATCATATCAGCTAACCCGAGTATGGTCGCTCGAGTTTCTTGCACAAGTTGATGAGAATGAAACTTTTTGGTACTGCCAGTTGCTCGTAAAATTACAATCCAGAATTCAGCATATTCACGCAAAGATGTTTCTGAAAAGGGTTTTGAAGAATTCTTTGGCAAACTTGACATGATGTATAATAGAGTTTTTTCACAATATCTATATAAATTGAATCAAATCTAATCAATTAATATAATAATAAGAGAACACGACACGATATTAAATTAATCACTTACTCATTTGGAATCTTTAAACTTTTACCAGTAGAACCACAAATAACTTGCATTTTATTTAATAAAGGTATAAAGCGATCTAATTCCATTGAATCAATTTTTTCTTCAATCACTTTTGTGAATACATGTACCGCTTCTGAACTAAACTTTTCAACATTAGATGCAGTATTAAGAATTGATTCTTCTGGAAAACGTCTAATATGACCGAACGTTAATCCTATTAATTCACCCAATATTGAATGTTCATTTATTAATGAACAGATTCTTGACAAATTCTCCAAAACTGCAATTATGGATTCTCCCCTATGGGCCGTTGAATTGGATGATGTTCGACCTATTCTATTCATGAGCTTTTTATACCAGTTAATGCACAATTGTGTTATTTGATAATCAATACCATTAGACATTTCTTTCCAATTTTTAAGCAATGATGGAAATACGCTCAATAATTGATCATCATTTGAGGTTGATACCGTCCGCAAAACAGCTATGTATTCATTTTTTGTCCAATTCAGACGTTTAGAATTTAAAAGGTTAGAAATCGACTTTGATTTAGGCTCATCCCAAATGGCAAGACGATCCTTGGTTAATAAATCAAGTACTCTTTTCTTAAAGAGGTCGGAAACTTTATCTCTAATGTCATCAGGAAGCTGGGTAAAATTCTTATGTAAATTAGCCGGTTCATCTTCAGATATCATTTTTTTAATATTATCTTCCAAATCTTGTCGTAGTTTCTTGTCACTTTTCTTTGAGGATCGCCAGATGATTGAAAAGTATTTCGCGTTGTTACATTGGCTCATCAACCACTACACAGTTAATATTGAAAAAAGAGGAATTAATTGATATGATTGACTAACGCTAATAATAAATAAATCAGCAAAGTTGTGATTATTAAAATATACCTTGATAATTTTCGCACGGTGATATTCGTCAAATTTATCTTTCAGAATCTTTTCAAAACAATCTTCTATATATTTTTCATTATTGCAATTAGAAAAAGATATTGTGTTGATGAATTTATATTGAGGATCGAAATTTTTTGCAATGCTAAAGATTTCGAGCCATTCGAATAATCCATAATGAATATTGTGACGAATTAACAGGTCAATCCCTTTTAATACAACATGCATACTATCGCTTGGAAATGTGTATTGATCAACCGTGAAGAAAGCTTGTAGCAAGGGAAAAAATTGAAATTCTCTTGGTAATTCAAATCTTTCGGAATTATTGGCGGCGATATGTCCTAAAAGGAAGCATAAAAAAAGACGTTTACCGATAGATTTATCCGATACACGTTTGTTAATAAATTGAAGATTTGTTACGGATAAAGTTAAGTCTTGATGCTGTTTAAGGATTCTATCATAATCTAGAATCATCCCCTTAATGTTTTCGGATCCATAAATGACATTTAAAAACATATAATCATTAATTTTATTAATGCGATAAGCCGAATTGTTTTTCCAAATATCGAATTGTTGACGTTGAATATCTAGCTCACGATCATCATCTGGACCAGATCCTTCGTATTCTAAGTGTAGGTTGTTGTATGAATACACAGCATACTTGTATCTAACAGTAACTTGAAATCTCACGTTCGGGATTTGAATAGGATCTGAATACCAATAAGATGTATGTTTCTTATTATGTTGTTTAAGAATAACTTTAGGTTCATTCCAATTACCAAGTTCCTCAATATTACCAACTATAACAGGATCTCCGACATGAACCTTAGGAAAATGCACATGAAATATGATTTTTGTGTAGCTATCATCTTCAGGTGCAATAAAATTGGAAATCTTATTGCCAATAATAATCTTACATTTTTTCGTTACGCCAGATATAGAGAAAGAATTAGATAATAAAGATAATGAAGTAAAAATGGAATATCTATTATTTTGTGGCTTAGAAACTTCCACATCGGTTACAGCTTCGTAGAATACGTTATTGTTTTGTGGCGTAGAAACTTCCACATCGGTTACAGCTTCGTAGAATACGTCACTATTATCATCATCGGACTGATTTGAGTTCATATTAGAGTTTATGTCAATTCTATTTTTACCTTTTCGTTTATCCATTGTTCAAAGTTAATCAAAGGATAAATGATAAACTCGAGGAAAGTCAAGAGAGTTTTTTGATGGATGCATTTTTATACATTTCATATTGTCGTCATATTCTTATCGATTTACTTTATTTGACTTCCAAAAAAACATTTACTGCGCCAAATAGTACGAAAAGATTACTTGAAAAGTATAAATCATTGTGCAATTGTCAATAATGACCTTACATGACGTAAATTCAGATCAATTTTATTACGAAAGAAACAAATTTTTAGCCATCAGAGTAACATTTAGGAATGGTAAAGTAGAAACAATTAGTCATTGATTTGTTTGGGAGTGCGATAGCATGAAAGGAGTAATAAATAATCCTGTATTTTCATAACAAAAGTCCATTCTTGTATGGTTTCATACTATACATATTCAAAACAAATTATACAGGTTTGCTAGATAACTGTATCGAATTTTTCTCCCACAGTTTATTTTAATGATGTCGATCATTGCTAATTAACCGACCAGTGTTAACCCGATTTTGAACCGAAACCAGATTAACCAAATAACGATTTAAATCTAACTCAGGCCCGTCCTATGAAAGTTTTTATTCAACTTTCTTCTTAATACGTTTCTTTGGTTATTAGTCAGGTTTATATGGAGACGATAAAGGTTTGAAAGTGTAAGGTGGAATTTTATTATTTCAAGATTTCGGAATTTCTTTTCTCAAGACTCATCTATCTAATTCTTTGATCAAAGTGGATGTTCGGGGTTTATATATAAAATTTCTAAATACTAACTTTTTCTATTTAAAATAAATATAACAAAGATATCTATATAATAGAAATAATTAATATATCTAATATAACGAATATAATAAAAATTACTTAATAAATTGAAAATAACAATTATAACAATTTTAAGAAATTTATATAATTTTAAAAAAATATAAAAATGAAACCTATTTAGAATACGATATTTGACAGTTTCATTATTTTCCGAAGTTACTGCGCCATTCGTAAATGCCGATTTCTTGTAAATTTAACTCAGGCCGCACTATGAATTTAGCCGGAGCTAACGAAACATTGAATTTCAAATTATTTTAACCGAAGATTTGATTGTACCCTAAGAACCACAATCATTTTCAATATATATTTAGTTTATTATATTATTCATTATTTCATTATAAAAAGCGTAGTACAAACTTTATATAAATAGTCCTGTAGTTCGACCTGGTTGTCGACAGACAGAGTTTTTCAAAATTTTAAAAAGTTTTTTAATAATAATAAGTTTTGAGATGAGATTCATAGTAACTCTACATTTTTGAATTTTTTTAAACTTTAAAATTTATCGGGTTTCTTTAAGGTTTGGATTGTGATAATCACTACACAAGTGAATCAAATAGTATTTTTTTGGATGCCTTATATTGAGTTTGATTTGGTTTTGGTACAACTCCAAGTTAACTCCGGTTTTAGAAAATCTTTTCTAATTCTTGACTCAGTCCAAGTATAATTTGAATTTTATTTGTTTTTTATATCGATATTAAAAGCGATCCACCGATAAGGTTACACAATCGATTTATTTACATATTTGGCTTTGTAATTGTAACCTTAAATAATGGAATTTCTGTAATAAAATAGGAAAAAAAAAATTTTTTTTTTTTTTTTATGAAATATTTTTTCTTGCTAAAAAAAAAATACGCTTGTTGATTTCGTGATTTCGTGACCT